GGGAGACGCTTGTTTTAATTTCCAGTCCATTGGTCAGGAGTGTCTTTCTTTAAAGGCAGAGTCGACAGCAGCTAAGTGACAAGCATGAAATGAGTCTCTTGTTTCCTTCCCGTGGCGTGGTACTCAGTTCTCTATCGTAGAGGGATGAAAGGCGTTACTCGTCCGGACTCAAACCCGGTAACTGTCTATTCTGAGCCGACATTCTACTGACTGAGCAAACCTAGTCTACAGCAACGCGAGGTTAAGTTATTGGACGCATTTGCCTTATATTTATATTACTTGACAGGTTCATAGACAAATCTAGATGTGTTCCGTATGCTGCTATAACTTCCTTATGCCGAGCGATTCGATGAGGATGTTTTTTTTAATTCTAACAATTTCAATTCAGATGTTCATCGTGGAAACTGTGGTCATATCGCTGTGCGACGAATTTCCGTCCAGACTCAGGAAGAACAAGCTGCATATGCTTTTGCTCTGCACCGTCCTGTTTTATGCCGTGAGTCTTATGTTTTGCACTCAGGTAGGCGCTACCGTCGGTCGAAGATGTGTCTAACAAAGTTCTCTGATAGGCTGGCATGTACTTTCTTACGTTGTTCGAGTACTACTATATCAGCTGGTTTCTTTTCGTCATCGCGTTTTTCGAATCCATGGCATTGTCTTGGGTTTACGGTACGTGTTGTGCGCACATTTGAATACTGAGCATGCAGCTTTGGTACCTGTCGAACCTTCAGGCGTTGATAATCTTCTCGACAATATCAAATGGATGACGGGCTACTACCCACATATTTACATATTTTGGAAGATTTTGTGGAAGATCCTGAGTCCCTTCGGCTCAATGGTATTGAAAGATTGCTGTTGTCATACTTTTTTGATAACGTTCTTTCGACTTATAGTGTTTAATACTTTACACCCTGATGCGATGCACACCGGCTTCTTACAAAGACTACCTTTTTCCATTGTGGCCAAATATCATTGGTTGGTTGATTTCTTTTCTGCCTGTTTTGACGATAGTTATTACGGCGATCTACAAGTTCATCAACCGCAGCGGTAGCTGTGTTAAGGTAATATTCTGTTCATTGTACTGACAGTGTCATGTTTAATTAATTGATAGAAACTAGTAACTTATGACTCAAAACATTTCGTTTTTTATCAACATGAATAAGTAAATAATAAATACAAACAAAAATACCCATGGCGTACTAAAATAACGTGCAAAGGGAAATTTTTTGATACCCTCCATGTAGAATATCACATTCTGTAGCTTTATACCACACGGTTCGAGCCACAGGTTAATCACACCATTTTCTTGCTTCTAAAACCAAGGGGACTTTTTAAGCAGGCCACGACACTGTGAGAGTTGCAATGCTTGGATCCACATATCGCTCTGCGATATAGTATACTACTAAGTCACATGGAGTCTTAACCTGCTTAAACAGTCCCCTAGACCGTTAAAACGAAAGGGACTCTGCGAATAAGTGCAAATCCGAAAAAGCGAGAAATAATTTTTCATTTTGTGTATTAGTTCCAGTTCCCGTGAAACTTTATCTGACGTGCCATAATGGCACCATGCTGTCGGTCTCCTCTCTTTCAGGATATGCAGTGATCCGTTGCTGCTGACTGATATCTTCGTCGCCATGTGTCAGTCCCCAACATCCCCATTCGATAAACCTAGACGATGTTATCTGATAGCCCGATGCGAGCTGGATATCCTGGAACACTCAGAGACCAATATACTAAGCCGGGAATATCAACGGCTTAAGGACGGTTGACTGTTCCACTTACTGGTGGTGAATGCTTTGATTTTCGTTCAGTACACTAGCGAAGTTGTCCTGGTCTGTCAGTTCACAGCAAAGTACATCAAGATGAACTTCGTCGCCATATGTGCCTATATCATTATTGCTAACGATCCGACGAACTATTTCTAGGCTAGTTTTCATGTGGTGATGGTTTGCGTTCTGCCACACC